ATTACATACATAGTTAGCATTCACTAAATATTAATGTAATGCTACAACTACCATGACATATCATAAATGCTACCTTAATTCAACTCTAGTAAGTCATTTTTCCAGAGTGTAAGTTGTTTTAAGTCAGCAACCTAAAAGAAAAGAAGGAATTACCCATTATGTCAGAATTTATTTTAAAAACCCCTCAAGCTGTCTCTCAGAATACAACACAATTGACTTTTTTCTGTATTCAGTCCTGTGGGAGGGTTCTTATGTGGAGGGAGGCCTGCTCATGAGCTGGACTTGAGAAAGGCAAATCAGTATGCAAATATGGCACATCCCATGTACTGGCTGCTCCATAACCAAGGACAGTTTCCCTTGAGGAGCCTGGGAGATACTAGAAGACTTGATTTCATTCTGACCCCATACCGAGGCTCTATCTTCTTAATGTTGGCTGAGGGATGTAGCTTGTTGTGGGAATAAAAAGAGAAAGTGGGGTCACATTTTGGGTAGGAGCAGATAAGTGCTCAAGTGATGTCTCTGGTAAACGGCTTTGGGTACATGCTACTGGGTCCTGGAATCTCAGGTAGCATCCGTTCGTGTCAAGCTGAGAGCTAAGTGCTTCCCACATATGGCTCAATCCTCACGGAAACACTGAAGCAGTCACAGTAATCTTCTCTAGTTTTAAAATAAGGAAGCGAAGAGGCTCCCATACACAGACTAAGGTAGCATTGAGTCTAACACTGACTGCACTATTAGACCCATAGCTGAATTGCTATCCAGAACAATGGTGGGGGTGGGTGCTACCTTACCCTCCATACACTATGTGCAGAATAATAAGAGAACTCTAAGTTTTTCTGTTTCTCACATTAGTTGTCAAGACCACACCCAAGTGTTTGCCTGGAAGGATTATAATTCCTTGTATTTGAAGACAGATGGATCAGTCTAATTATCTCTTTCCAAAGACTAAATATGTCAGTTTGTTCCAACTATCTGTTGGAGCCCTGTGTCTGGACCTTACCTTATCTTACTGAAGCATTTCTAGTTCAGTGGTCACCATATTGGTTGCACAGTGGCATCAATCAACTGAGGATGTTTTAAAAATACCCTTGTTGGGCCTGGCTCAATGGCTGGATTGGTTAATCCTCCTCCTTCAAGTACCAGGACCCCATCTGGGCACTGGTTCATGTCCTGGCTGCTCAATTTTCCATACAACTCCCTGCAAGTGGCCTGGAAAAAGAGAGGAGGATGGCCCTAAGCCATCCCATCTGTGTGGGAGACCTGGAAGAGACTCCAGGCTCCTGGCTTTGGATTGGCTCAACTCTAGATGTTGCGGCCACTTGGAGAGTGAACCAGTGGATGTTAGATCTTTCGACCTGTCCCTTTCTTTATGCCTTTGCAATAAAAATATATAAATGTGTATATATATATATAAAGATTTATTTTATTGTTATTGGAAAGTGATATATACATAGAGGAGGAGAGACAGAGAGGAAGATCTCCTGTCCGCTGATTCACTCCCTAAGTGGCCATGATGATGATAACTGAGCTGATCCGAAGTAAGGAACCAGGAGTCAGGAGCTTCTTCCAGGCCTCCCATGTGGATACAGGATCTCAAAGCTTTGGGCTGTCCTTGATTGCCTTCCGAGACTACAAGCAGGGAGCTGGGACAGACACGAACCAGCACCCATATGGGATCCCGGTGTGTGCAAGGCAAGGACTTCAGTCGCTAGGCTACCACACCAGGTCCTAAAATAAATCTTAAAAAAAAAAACATACCCAAGTCAGAGCCTTCAGACTGATGGAACAGAAATCTCTGCAGAGTGGCCTACACATTGTGATTTTCCAAGAAGCTCTTTTTAAAGGGCAGCCAGTGTGGCAGATCACTGCTCCAGTTTGCTTAAAAATGAAGAATCGGTATGAATGTTGGCAAGGACCTACTTGGCATGAAGAAAGCTTCTTCTTAGAATTATCTGTGGCATCGTCCACATGATTTAATAGACCTGGTCACTGAATGCCAATATTCCTCAAATGTAAGGTTTCTGAACAGCCACTTACTCGGAAGGTGGCCAACTGGAAGGACCACTCTGATTTCATTAGACCATGCTGGAGGATTCATCTGAACTCTACAGGTCCCAAATACTGAAAACATAATTAAGACTAATTTTTCTTAACAGGATATTTTACAATTGGCAAACAATGCCATCCTCTTTCTTACTGCTTCTCTTTAACTCAGCCTCTTTCTACCAAACACCTTGCTCTGGGCAGTTCAGAGCTCTGTGCCTGAGTGCAATGTGGAGTGATTACAAGGAAGTACTGCCTTCATGTTGATTTTAAAGACAGTGATAACAAAGCAGGGTGCTGCTGGGACCCCTGACGGCGAAGCCTGGGAGAAATTTGTGTCTACGTTCTCAGGCTGCCACTTCAGCTGACAGAAAAGGGAAATCTCTAAACAGCCTAAAGGAAATGAGATGTGATGACCTAACGGACATTAACGTGAAGCATACTATCAAGGTATGAGAAACACGTATTTCACGGACCCATTATTTTCTATAAAACATGTTTATTCAATTAAGCAATACCTGTGTGGTTTTTTGAAGAGGGAAGTACCCAAAGTCAAATGCCCAATGATAAAGAAATGGTTATAGCTTTTATTCCTTAAAAGAAAACACTGAGTTAGATTCTAAGGGTGCCAAGAGGAAAGTGATGCAATCAGGTTGACGTCATGGGACAGGCAGTAAAGAAGCGGGGCAGGGTGGTGAGGGCTGGAGGATGATGTTTGTATTGTGTAGATTGTGTGAAGGGAGAGGAAGCAAGGAGGCAGATAGGAACTTGTTCATTCGTTGTTAACTTCCATTAGATCCTCTGTTACTTTGCTCCTCTGTCTATTCCTTCTTGCATGTTTTGCCCAAAAACTATCCTCTGCAGTCCCTTAAAATGAACTGAAGATTTTTTTTGAAGGTTATATGGGTGTTAGACTCTAGCTTTGCAGATATTTCCTATTTCATTTAGTATCCTTTGCACTTCATGGTTGGAAAGAAGGGAGATTGAGGAGTTTGTCTCCTCTGGACCGTGGTGGAGGATTGTAGTCCTCTGATACCAACGTCGGGGATTTAAACACCAAGGTGTGCTGCTAGGATCCCTGCCTCCCTGACACCACCACTCCTGGACGGCCACGTGTCTCTTGGCACTCCACCTACTGATAAGTTTCAGCCCAGCAAAGGGTGCAAGGGCGCCTCCTCCAGGGAAGAAGGCTGGAGGGAGAGGGCACCCTGATCGCTTGCAGAGTTCAGGGTTCTGCGACCTCTGAGGAAGGAGCCTGCAGCTGCCACGCGGCTGGCGCCACTGCACCGCTGACAGCTCCCCCCAACGCTTTTACACGGTGCAGGTGCACATCTTTCTCACTGAGGGGCTGTGCAATTCTCACTGCGGCCCTGTCAAGGAGATCATTATTTGGGTTTCTTTTGTCTAGACCAGGAAAGCGAGGTTTTCCTTTCCCCGCGGTCACGGGGTGGCAGGTGGTGGAGCCACGGGCGTCTACTGGGTTCCAGTCGCTGAGAAAAGAAAAGCTGCCGGATTCTCGTAATTATTATGCAAAGCCGGCCAGGAGGCGTGGACGCTCCCTTGCACTGGTCCATCTGTCCCTGCGCACCGCCTCCTTGGCCTCAGAAGCCGGACAAGTGGAGAGGGTCCAGACGCGCCTCTCCATCCTCAACCTCTTTAGTCTGGGCCCGTGCTCGGTGCCTTCCCGGGCGCGCCCCCAAGCAGACCTTTCTCCGCTAAAACAAAAACAAAAACACCTACAGCCTCCTCCGCACGCCTCTTGCTGTCCCCCGAGAGCAGCATCAATATTAATCTCCATGAATAATTGAAGGCCAGAGATTTATTCTGGCCGAGCTGGAGGAGGGCGCGCAGCTGGGCAGTGCTTCGGCCGCGCAGCCTGTCCCGCTCAGCCTCTGGCATTTGGTCGGGCCTGGAACCACAGACACAGGAGAACGGGGGTGGGTGTTCCCGCCTGTGCGGGTGAGCTTGGGGGCGAGTGTGAGTCTGAGCAGCTGTGCCAGGCAGTGAGTGGAAGCACCCGAGACTGTGGGGGCCGAGGGGCAACCCTGCTCTCTGCTTTGTCGCTTTGCGCTTCGGCCCGCGCGGGGTGATCCGGGGTGACGTGGGATTGAGTGGGAAACAATAGCAACTCCTTAGATTCTGGGCTCCTGCCATGGGCTGCCCAGGCATTCCCGGACAACCGGCGCAGGCTCTTCTTATTTGGCTAATTTATGGCGAGGGGCTGGGGGCGGGGGGGAGGGATGGCAGAGGAGGTACCGCGTCTGGAGATGGGGGGCGGGGGGCGGCAGTTAAAGGAGTCGCCCGAGGCTGTGGCGCGGGTGATGTCAGCTCTTCGACGAAAATAGAGAGAGAGATCGCCTGCAAATCCCCTGCTCCAGCGGGGGCTAAACCTCGCAATCCCTCCCCGGCCGGCGCCGAGCCAGGCGCAGCAGCCTCCGCCGCCTCCCCCGGCGAGCACACACCCGCACACAAGCGCTCACACGCACACACTGCACACACACACACACACACACACACACACACACACACACACACACACACACACACACGCACACGCACACGCACACGCACACGCACACGCGCGCGCGCGCGCCTTCCTTCCCCCGTGCCAGCGCTCTTCGGGCCTGCCACTCGCGGCGCCCGCTTGCCCCGCAGCGAATCACAGGTGGCAGCGGCGGCGGAGGCGCAGCGGCGGGGTGCGCCTCCTGCAGCGCGGGACACAGAGCGCTCTCGGGGACCAGGGCTCTACAATCCCCTCGGTGCGCCCTGCTGGGCGCCACCACCAGAGGCCGAGGCGAGCGCCGGCCGACCAGCGCGGAGAGCTGGAACGCGGATTAGCACCCGCAGAAGCCTCCAACGCACGTCGAGGCGCTAAAGGGCTTACCCGGGAGGCGGGTGGAAGGGCGGGGAGAGGCTCCCTGTTAAATATCACTTAGGGCCAAGACTCCCGCGCTCACCCCAACGCGCGCTCTCTCGCTCGTCCGCCGGGGCCGGACAGTGCCGAAGAGGAGGGGGCGTTCCCCAGACCATGGCGGCTTCCGAAGGGTGAGGGGGCTCTCTCGGGACCCGCGCGGGAGCAAGGGCCACGCGTGGGGTGGTGGTTTCCTAGGCGGGATGGGGACCGAGAGGCTCGGGCCTCTGAGGTGGCGGCGGAGTGACGCTTGGCTGGGGGTGGGAGGGTGGCGGGGAGACTGGTGTTCTGTGGTGGAATTGGCCGCTTAACCCTTTGAGGGCAAGAGAGACCGAGGGCCGCTTTATTTCTGAGAAAGGGGTAAGGTACGACAGAGATGTGAAAAAAAGTGTGCAGAAGAATCCTCTGGAGGTTACTTTTGAGATTCAGAAGCACCTAGGAAGCGTGCGCGTCGCGTGAGCAGACCCTGCCTGGGGAAGCCGCGCTGTCAGGTGGGGAGCAGTCGGAATGAATGAACCCGGGCTGGAGCCGGGGCGGGGCAAGGAGCCACGCGCGCGGCCTCTCAAATCAAAGCTGGCTCCTTCCGGGCCCTCCTTGACCTCCGGTGGTGGAATCCCCCTGGCCAGACAGGGTGAAAGAGATTTGGGTGCTTCCCGAAAGGAAAAAGGAAAACGTGGTTTGGGTCAGGAGCTGGAGTCCCCAGACCCTGGCGTAGCACCGGGTTCCCTGCAGCGCCTGGGGCCCTTGGGGTCCTTTCCTGTCTCCTAAGGCTCTTGTTGGCGTGGAAATAGCACCAGAGCTGTAGAAGGACCACTGTCTTTAACAAATGGCAGATGGGGTTGCAAGAGGTTTAAAAAGCATCCTTTGACTATTCTTTTTCAAAGGAAGGGAACAGGAACAGCTTCCTGGCCAGTATCTCCAGGAAACTTTTCCAGCTATGTAGAGCTTGAGTGGCAATAAATGACTGATTGGAAAACTCGGCCGTTTGATTGATTTACAAAATTGCAATAGTCCCTGCAAGGGATGACTGGATGCACGCTCTGTGGGGAACCAGTACAAGAACTGCCCCCCCCCCCCCCGCTCCCCGCAGGGCAGAAGTTGTGGGTCCTTGGTGCTGGCATGTTGCAGTCTCTCTTAATAAATTCCACCACTGAGCAGACTTCTTTGGGCACAATGCGTCCCTAAAGTAGAAGTGAAGATCTGGTGTCCAAAGCCAGGTCTGCATACTCCAATATCCAACAAAGGGATTTGTTCTGAAACTGTCTGTGTCCAGGAGGAGCTCGTCCTCTGCCCCCTGGACTCCTGCCAAAGCAGCCTGGCATCTAGTAGTAGCATGAAATTTCTGCCCTTCTTGCCCTAATACTTAGGCAGTGACAACCACTTGCATTATTATTTCTCCCGAAAGATGCCCTAAAAAGACACTTATGTTCAAGAAAAGGTGCTAAAGAAGATTTCTAGAATTCAATATTAACAGCCCAGGTGGTTCAACATCAGTGTCCCTCTGTTTCATAAAGGGTTCTGCATAAGAACAGCTATCCAGCTATCTTTGGATACTTTCAGAGCTCTTCTAGACTCACCCCTGCTCGTAAAGGTTGGGCTGGAGACGGCTGTGAGAAAGATGGATGGTCACAGTTTCACACATCGTGCCTCCAACTAACTCCCCGATTTGATGGTCAGAGAGAGGAAGAGGTTAGGAAAATAAATTACACCTTGAACTAAAGGTGTTTGTCTCTCTCTTGTCCTATGTGAAAGCTGTCCCGTGGTTTGACATTAAATATAGAGTAAAGGTGATTTTCATTGTTTACAAAAGACTCACATGCAACTAATAATGGCATCTTTGTGCACTGAGTTAGGATTGGCCAAAAGAACTCCTAGCTGAGAGATGAAAGAATTGAAGGAATTTGAAAAGCTGGGAGACATTTTTTTTTTTAAAAAAAGATCTGTCATCTAGTTAGAAGCAGTCATTGATATACAGGTGACGTTTTGAGAAGCCTGACCTTTCCCTTCCTTTCTTCTCTTTCATCTCTGGTCCAGGGACCATGTACTTGCTAGATCAGGGGTGACGAGTGTGATGTAGTTTGGAAGCTGGTTTTTAGAAGCCTGACCCCAGTGGAGGACTCTATTAGCTAATTATTTATGTGATATTCTGTTTCCCCTTCCGGTATTTTGAGTTAATACACCTTGTAAAGAAAAAAAATTGCTAGGAATCCTAAAGTTGATCTCCTTTCTTAGGGTTTCCAGTATTGGAACTGTTTCCTTGAAGCGTACATAGCTGAGTAGGAGACAAAAACTATGGTACAGATTTTGGACATTTCAGTGAAACCTTTCACACTGAATGTTTAGAGAATAAGGTGACATGGTAGACTGGCCATTCCAGTTAATATTCATTTGGTGGCTCAATTATCATTAACAACATATGTTGGCTTAAAGAATCGTTAGAAGCAATGGTGATATGTTGTGTTGGTTTAACATCATACTTTCAAAGCTCATTCTCAGATATCATCACATTTCATTATTATAATAACTTTATGAAACAGTTCCGTGAAAACAGACTTTGGGAATAAAACCGTGTGTAATATAATGTCCTATTTCAGGAAGATGCTAGGACTTGGCAGAGTTTCAGAATCATCACCTGGAGAAGCGATTGACTCGTTCTTCGGGCATGGCTGGAGGAACCTTGACTCTGATGTCCCTATCAGCATGTTCCTTTGGGGGTCTCTTTTTTTTTACTCATTTCCTTATGCCCTCAGTCTTTGCTTTGGCGAGCACATTACATATATCTAAAATTTGGGTTTTCTTTTTTCAAGGTTTCTGATTAGTTGGAATCAGAGTTATTAACATCCAGTTTCTGTAAAAATTAACAGTGGATTCTTTGGTAGTTCCCAGGCCTCAGAGTGATTTTCCTGCAAAGCTGTCTAATCTGATAGTTGAGCATTCTTCTCTTCTAGTCCCCCGTCATGGCTAGAATTACAGAAATGGCTTTTAGGTCCCTGACCCAAATTGGAAAGAGATTAGAAGTAGTTGGTGGCAGGCAGGCTAGTGTCCGTTATTGACTGCAGCTGGAGAGGCAGACAGTTTAGAAATACACTCTTGGGGGTAGGTGGAGGCTAGATCATCACATATGCCCGAGACCCAAGGCAGTCTGTCTTCCCATCCACTCCCAGGAGCCAGGGGGTCAGGGCGAAAGGCAACCAGGGGGGCTTGGGTTTCTGCTTGACGCAGGGAGCAAGGGAAACAGAAAACTGCTGACAGCAGAAACCCTTGGCAAGGGAGTCCCCCTGAATTTATTAGTTTGAACAGACAAAGGCAAAACATAACCACTGCCTTCTCCTTCCTCCCCTGGGGAGTGAAGTTGAAATCAGCTGGAGGAGGGGCCCAGGCGGTGGCCTCACGGAGAGGGGGCGAGCAGAGGGTGGCTGTCGTTGGGGGGAGGGCAGGGCTCTAGAGGGGTTTGTGTTATTGCATGCCTTGGGTTTTGCTGTAATTTTCATTCCTAATTTTCTCATTTTCAAGAGCATAGAAATCGGCCTCCTTGGGTAAAATTGACATTAACTAGGCTGTGAGAAAGCCATTTCATGTTTACCGAGACAATCTCTTGTGAGTAATTCAGAGCTTAATTCTCAAGAAATAATATTTAATCCCAATGAAACTTGCGAAGTGGAAATGCCAGGTAATTAAAATCTAAAAGACAGGTTTGCTCATCCGTCCCCTGGCCACTAGCTTTCCCACTTCATGCAACCATCAACGAGGTGTTGTGTGCCTGGCCTTCGACATTCAGGAGATGTGGCAGGCAGACAAGGAAAAGCGCTTAGGAAATGATGCCTCGGCTGCAAAAACATGTAATATTTAAAGGCCGAGTCTGAGATTTCTGGGTCAGTGTGCCATAAATCCTACAATTCCAGAATTGCAAAGCTTAGTCAGTTTCAAACTCAATCCAGGTTAACTTCAAGGAAAATTCCCTGCTCTCCACCAAAATGCCCAGTGTCTGGTTTTCCCCTTTTCAGAGGCAAACTAAATTGTTTTCCATATTGATATTGTTTTCCTCATTGGATTGGTTTACCTTTCAGTATGAACTACACAGATCCTTCATTTCAATCACCTAGTGGCGCAGAGCGTCCTTCTCAATATGAGATTTTAGTTTTGTTTGCATTTTCAGAACTTGCCCTAGTAGTCTGAAAAAAAAAAAATTCTGCAAATGTTGGACGCTGCTTGCTTGCAGTCTTTGCTCTCAGGCCCTCACCAGCTTGTTGGGGAGGGGCAGGCAGAATGCTTCACAGAAAGGGTTTTAGAATCCAGATGACGGCAAATCTCTTTATTTACCAGGATTGGGAGCTTGCTCCCCCCTCCCTCTGCCTGCCCCTCACCCCGCCGCATGCCCAGCGCCAAGTCCTTGGGATGAATTAATTAAAGAAAGAGTGTTTAAAAATATCTCATTGCTCCATCTCCACACGTGTGCCATCATTGATGGGAGGCAGATGGGCTGCAGACTTGTCAGTAGAATAGAAAAGAACTAGCATCTCGTTATGAACCTGTCTGGCTAGCTTTAAATAATGGCAGACAAGATAATGAGCTGGCCATGTCAAAGGAGAATGGAGCATTGTCCTTAAACTTTTACAAAGAGTACCTGCTTTCCTTGGTGCGCTGTTTTTGCAAAGAAATGGCTGTCTCTCCGTGACACTGATCTTTATTTTTGTTGTTGTTGTTGTTGTTGTTCACTTATTTATCTGATGTCTCACTTGAGAAGCAGCTCTGAGCGCTCTCTGCTGAATTGCCGTCTGGCGTTTTTGGCAGTCATAGCAACTGCTTTGGCTTGTAGACTCATTCAGCAAGACTGTGCTTTACAAATGGAATGAAGAGAATGACTTTATGCTGGCTCTGGACACAAAGGGTGTCCATCCTGGCCCCCTGTAGGAGAGGTGGTAGCCACGGTCAAAGATGTGGTAAGAAGCACATGGGGACAAGGAGAGGCGTGTTGTCCCACTGCTTCCTTACATGTTATAGCTTCTTTTAATTCTCCACAAGCACTTTGTTCTGTTCTGTGTGGTCAGGAGGGCCATCTGTCGCTTATGCATAATCTTGCGTAGGATTTTGCATCCCATGTTTCTCTGATCCTGATTTCCCAGCTTCTGGGTCC